AGTAGGAGATAGTTGGCATTCTTTCACTAAATGTATTTAAACGGAATCTGGACATCATTTACCAGAAATTGTATAGTTGCAAGATTCTGCATAGCACTTCCTGCTGTGACCAGAAAGACAGACTGGAAGACTTCCAAGAATCTTGGAATAAAATACTATTTTTCAGTGGACCCCAAAATTCTTCTTTTGGTGTACAAGTTTGTCTCAACTTCAATCTCTAGCTACAGAGAAGCCTACAAGGACAACATATCACGATTCATTGTGCTAGCCATGATTTGTTTCATCATTATTCTTTTAATAAGCCAGAACTGATTGAGTTCTGTTCTAAGCCAACGTTTCTCAATCTCAAGCAACTTGAAGATGTGTGCACTTCAACTCCCAGCAATTCCCCAGCCAGCAATTCCCAGCAATTCCCCAGCCAACCCAACATCTTAAGGCTTAGAGCACTGATAATCATGTTCTAAAACTATGCCTCAAATCAAAGAGGCTACTTTTCTTCCATTCCAAAAGCTAGAATCAGTGTTTCTCAACCTTGACAATTTTAAGGCATGTGGACTTCAACTCCCAGAATTCCACAGCCAGCATTGCTGGCTGTGGAATTCTGGGAGTTGAAGTCCACATGCCTTAAAATTGTCAAGGTTGAGAAACACTGACTGCTAGATAGAGCATTTCCACTATTGTGTGCTGATGGTATCACCTAGCCTGGTAATGAAACATCTGCAGGAAAATTACCAAGCTGGGGGAACCAAAAACCCAACAGTTCAAACCCTGAGCTACTGAAATTCTACCATTTCTGCTATTACAGGATGATTCATTTTGCTCTGGAAGATTATTGTGATATATTTGGGCTGTCATGTCCAACTCCCTGCTCAGGATAAGACTTCAAACCAAAGCATCCAGATAGGTGGCATTCCAGTTAGGCTTGAGGACACCCAGAGAAGGTCAAAATGGTCTTACAGGTGGGAGCTTTTCCTAATGATTAAGTGGAAAGACAAACCTTTTATCTGTTCAGAGGGCTCTTAGTCTTTAATATGAACTTTTTCTCAGAATTGATCTCTGACATGAAAACAAGGTAGGCTCTGCTGAAGAACAAAGGTATTTGAGATACCTTTATGTTGAGCCTGAACCTCACAGGAGAGAGTCTAAGCAGAATCAAGCTAACTGGTATTTGATTGGGAGACACCAGGGAGTTCCAGGGCAATAGATAGGAAGAAAGGACACATCCAAGCTTGCCACTGTCTTCTGCCAGGATGTTTTTGAGCTTCCCACTTTTATCTATTGCCCTAGGTTCCCCTGGGGTCTCCCACCCAAATATTACCTAGCCTGACTCTGCTTAGCTTCCAGGCTAAGCTACAACATCTGAAGCATGACATGTTTAAGATAGATAGATAGATGATGATGATGGTGGTAGATAGATGAAAGCAAGCAAGCAAGCAAGCAAGCAAGCAAGCAAGCAAGCAAGAAAGAAAGAAAGAAAGAAAGAAAGAAAGAAAGAAAGAAAGAAAGAGTGTAACAGATGAGAGATGGGAGAGAAAGAGAGAGAGAGAGAAAACTAGAGATAAAATCCTTAGTCAGTATGGATGACATCTGGAGAACCCCAGGGGAATAGGTTGCCTTTTCAATCCCAGTTCCAACAGGATGTCAGCATTCCCACAATGCAAAAACCTAACAAATGCATTTGTTCAAGATGCTGGTCTTGGCCACCGTCAAACTTGCTTTGTGATTTGTACTACGGGGTAAATTCAGCTTGTTCGCTTAGCTTATATTCAAAAGATTGTGTGAACTCAGACAAGTGGGTTAATTCAGGAACCAATTATAAGTGTGTTTCTGTGTCACGGGACAGCTATCAGTCTCCACAAGTAAACAGAATTAAAACCTGTTGTTGTTTGTAATGACGTCTGTTCCTGAACGTAGTTAGCAGCCTCGAATACTTCTCTGGTGGTGAGCAGCGAGGTGTAAATCAAATAAATAAATCGCGGCCGCTTTTCCTAGGAGGGACTCGAATCTCTGCTGTGATCGCTTTATGGACAGTGTGCTTGGGTTGTCGTTGTTTTTGTGGGAAGGGAGATTCCTTTCTTTTGCCGGACGGCTGGGCAAAGCTCGTTCGGAGCCATTTCTTTTTCAAACTTCCCCTCTCTCCCTTCCCAGCCCCAGACCGTTGGACTTGCCAAAGTTCACTACCACAATATCAACAGGGAGCCGGTGTCTGGACTTCGGCAGCTGCCGCTCAGAGGCTGGAGCGGGGCGGAGAGGGAAGGACGGGGTCTCAACGGACAGGTTCTACATTCACACGTCAGTGAGGGCTCAGGAACGCCCGGCGTGGGCGCCTCCTTCAACCTGCGACGGCCGGGCTTTGTCCGCGCCCGAGCTCGGGCTGAAGACCTGTTCGAAGCCAGCCTTGGCACCCAGGGCGCAAGGGCTTGGCGGAGGGAGTTGTGCTTTTATGTGTGTGTGTGTGTTTGCGCGAGCGAGCGCGTGCGTGGGTGTGTGGGGGGGGGCATTTCAAACGGTGACCCCCCCACCTTCACTAAGCATCCTTCCTCCCCCTCCCCGAAGGCTGCCTACAGAGCATCTGCAGTCTCAAGTAAAAGCTTTTCATCCCCCTCCTCCATTCCCAGCGAGCTGCGCGATCGATAAGGGCAGCGCGGGAGGGGGCCGTGCCGCGGAGCCGGAGAAGCCCCCAGCTAGCTCCAAAAGCGGAGAGACGCGTGGTTGGGGGGGGGAGGCAGACCCGAGGCAGGGAGGTTAGTTTGGGACTGGGGTGGGGGGAGTGAGGCAGGCGGACGGAGGGGCGATCCACACAAAGGCAGAACTAGAACAAGACGGGGGACAGGGAGCGCGGCGGCGGCGGCGGCGGCGGCTGCTGCTAGGCGGCTGTGTGGACACCAGCGCGCTCCCCAGCCTGGATGGATCGAGCAATAAAGCAGAAACGCCCGTGATAGATGGACCGGGAGATTAGGCGCGATGGAGTGCCGTGATGTATGGCTTGCTGATACAGTCCGGGGCGGAGGGGCCGGCAGGCAAAGAACTGAGCCACGTCCTCCCACCTCCGCCAACCTGTCCCAAGACAGCCTTCCCACTTATAGCTTTCTCTATTTGCCTTCCTTCCTCCCTCCCTCCCTCCCTCCCTCCCTCCCTCCCTCTCCTTCCTTCCTTCCTTCCTTCCCTTCCTTCCTTCCTTCCTTCCTCCCTCCCTCTCTCCCTCCCTCCCTCCCTCTCCTTCCTTCCTTCCTTCCTTCCTTCCCTTCCTTCCTTCCTTCCTTCCTTCCTTCCTTCCTTCCTTCCTCCCTCTCTCCCTCCCTCCCTCCCTCCCTCTCCTTCCTTCCCTTCCTTCCTTCCTTCCTTGCTTGTAGCTATCTCTCCCTCTTCTTTCTCCAGGGACCGATCGATCATTTTTCCATTCTTGCTCTCCTTTTTCCTTCCTTCCTTCCTTCCTTCCTTCCTTCCTTCCTTCCTTCCTTCCTCTCCCTCCCTCCCTCCCTCCCTCCTCTCCTTCCTTCCCTTCCTTCCTTCCTTCCTTGCTTGTAGCTATCTCTCCCTCTTCTTTCTCCAGGGACCGATCGATCATTTTTCCATTCTTGCTCTCCTTTTTCCTTCCTTCCTTCCTTCCTTCCTTCCTTCCTTCCTTCCTTCCTTCCTTCCTTTCTTCCTTCCTTCCTTCCTTCCTTCCTTCCTTCCTTTCTCCCTCCCTCCCTCTCCTTCCTTCCTTCCTTCCTTCCTTCCTTCCCTTCCTTCCTTCCTTCCTTCCCTTCCTTCCTTGCTTGTAGCTATCTCTCCCTCTTCTTTCTCCAGGGACCATTCTTGCTCTCCTTTTTCCTTCCTTCCTTCCTTCCTTCCTTCCTTCCTTCCTTCCTTCCTTCCTCCCTCCCTCCCTCTCCTTCCTTCCTTCCTTCCTTCCTTCCTTCCTTCCTTCCCTTCCTTCCTTGCTTGTAGCTATCTCTCCCTCTTCTTTCTCCAGGGACCGATCGATCATTTTCCCATTCTTGCTCTCCTTCCTTCCTTCCTTCCTTCCTTCCTTCCTTCCTTCCTTCCTTCCTTCCTTCCTTCCTTCCTTCCTTCCTTCCTTCCCTCCCTCCACACCCGCTTCACACCAATAAATCTCAGCTCTTTCCCCCACACTTCCAGTCCGCCAACTCCGGATGGGTCGGCCTCCCGTTCCCAACCAGTAGTGGGCGATGTAGCCCAGCCCGCCCCGGAGGGCCCCAGGTTGGGGACGGCTGGCGTCGAGTCTGCGCTTGGCTCAACCTCCAGCAGCCAGAATTGATTTTCGCCCGCCGCCTTCCCGAGCCCCCGCCGCCTCCGTCTCTCCATCCCCGCCTCCTTTCCCCCCGCCCCCCCGAGCGCTGCCTTCTACTTTCCCATTTTTCTCGCGCGAGGTGGAGGCAGAGCCCGGCCGCTGCTGGGCCACGGAAGCCGAGCGCCCGGCAGGCGAGGCCGGCAGGTGGGCGCTCGCTCCTCTCCCAGCCAGCCAGCCAGCCAGCCAGCCAGCCGGCAGCGGCGGGTCCGAGGCGCGCGCGCACCCCTGTGTGCCTCGGGGGCGCGCGTCTGGGGGCGCGGGCGGGCGGGCGCGCCTCCGAGCGGGAGAGGCGGACAGACCGGAGCTGCGAGCCGTGACGTCAAGGCGAGAGGGAGGCAGAGCTGAGAGGCAGCGCGGCGATTCGCAGCCCCGGCGAAGGTTGGAGGAGGCGGAGGCGAGCGAGCGAGCGAGAGGGCGAAGCGAGAGGCGAGCGCCCAGCCCCGCAGCCTCGGGCAGGAGGGGAGCCGCCGCCGCCGCTGCTCGCGTGTCCAGCTGCCGCTGTTGCTCCTGCCGCGGTCGCTGCTGTCGCTCCCGCCGCCGCCGGGACTGCGGGCGTCCGGACCCGCGGATGGCGACCTCCTGAGATGGCCGGCCATCTGGCTTAAGGCGGCGGGGCAGGAGGCGGGAGGCGGAGATCCGGAGGGGGCGGGCGGGAGGAGGAGGAGGAGGCGGGGGCGACCGGCTGGCCGGGGGAGAGCGAGCGATGGAGCTGAACCTCGACGGACTGGGCAACCTCCACCAAGCCGGGGAGCTCTTGAGCCCCGCCGGGGCGCACGCCAGGCAGCCGCCGCCGCCGCCTCCCCCGCCGCCGCCTCCCCCGCCGCCGCCGTCGACGCACCGCAACCTGGTCTCCTCGCACGGCCGGCCGGCCATGGTCTCCAGCATGGCGTCCATCCTGGACGGGGCGGGCGACTACCGGGCCGAGCACAGCTTGGGCGGCCCGCTGCACCCGGCCATGAGCATGGCCTGCGAGTCGCCCTCGGGCATGAGCACTTACACCACGCTGACGCCGCTGCAGCACCTGCCGCCCATCTCCACCGTCTCGGAGAAGTTTCCCCACCCGCACCACCACCACCACCACCATCACCACCACCACCACCCGCCGCACCAGCGCCTGGCCGGCAACGTCAGCGGCAGCTTCGCCCTCATGCGCGAGGAGCGCAGCCTGGCCGCCTCCATGGGCAACCTCTACGGCCACTACCCCAAAGACATGCCCGCCATGGGGCAGCCCCTCTCCCCGCTGGCCAACGGGCTGGGCGGCCTCCACAACGGGCAGCAGTCCCTGGCCCCCTACGGGCCCGGCGGCCACCTGGCGGGCGACAAGCTGCTCTCCCCCAACGGCTTCGAGCCGCACCTGCTCTCCCGCAGCGAGGAGCACCTGGCTCGGGGGCTGGGCGCGCCCGGCGCCGGCATGATGCCCGCCCTCAACGGCCTCCACCCGCACGCCCACCCGCACGCCCAGGCCAACGGCTCGCTGCTGGCCGAGCGGGAGCGGCAGGGCTCGGCCTCGGGCTCGGCGGCGGGCGGCGGCGGGTCCGGCCAGGTGGAGGAGATCAACACCAAGGAGGTGGCGCAGCGCATCACGGCCGAGCTGAAGCGCTACAGCATCCCGCAGGCCATCTTCGCCCAGCGGATCTTGTGCCGCTCGCAGGGCACCCTCTCCGACCTGCTGCGGAACCCCAAGCCCTGGAGTAAACTCAAGTCCGGCCGGGAGACCTTCCGCAGGATGTGGAAATGGCTGCAGGAGCCCGAGTTCCAGCGCATGTCCGCCCTGAGGCTGGCCGGTAAGGGGCTGGGCGGGGGCGAAGCGCCGGGCGGCGGGGAGCGGAGCGGGAGGCGCGCGGGTCGGGCTCAGAGCCGGCTTGGCAGGCGGGAACGCGGGCAGCGAGGAGCGGGGCGAGCCAGGAACTCCGAGGGCAGGAGGCCGGGAAGGAGCGGGGGAAGGGAGGCGCGGCGCGGCGCGGCGCTCTGCAAGACAGGACCGGGTGCAAGGTAGCCAAAGGCGCCCAGGACCTTTCAGCCTGCTTCCAGCACGCAAAGCCTTTGTTTTGGCGGTTCAGCCGACCCCTTCCTCACCCTCCTCAAGGAATGCCTACGTGTGTGTGTGTGTGTGTGTGTGTGTGTGTGTGTGTGTGTGTGTGTGTGTGTGTGTGTACAGTATGCCGATCCGCGGGGCGCACACCGCGTCAGGATCGATTTTTGCTGGAGCTCTACCCGACCTTTCTTTCCACCGCGTGCCCGCTCTTCTCTTTCCGTCTGGGGTCTCCCGAGGCACCTTGGCGCCCCTCGCCTGTGGAAGATGCCGCGGAGAAGCATCTGAAGGCGCAAGTGCCAGGCGCTGCACAGCGGAGGAAAGGAGGTCGTCCGCGGGCTGGACAGGAGATATGCTCCCTCTCTCCCACCCTCACTTCCACCCCCCCCCACCCCCGCCAAATTCCGCTGTTTAAAACGATAATGGTTGAGGGGTGACTTGCCCTGCACATTTTGAATCCGTCCCGTTTGGAACGGCGGGAGTTGAAAACCAACCCGCCTAGAATGAGCCAGGTTAGAGGAAACGGGTGGGTATTATTGGGCATAAATGTACGCACAATATGCTCTATGTGTACACAAAGTGCGAGCCTACATGCGCCTACAGTACGTGGAGGCGTTCCTAAAACAGACCGTATTGAACGGAAGAGTCTGTGTGTGTTTTCATCCGTCCGTCCGTCCACCCATCCATTCCAGATTCTTTTCCCTCTCGGGCTGAATTCCACACAATACGCTCCGAGAAGTCGCGAACGAGGCTGGGTAGCCAAGGGTTCAAAGTGTTGTGGGAACCCAGGCGTTGTCTTAGCCGCGGGTTGTGTGAAGTAGGAATCACTTCGAGGCGGTTTCTTTGTTCGGACACCGCGCGCTCTGCCAAGGCAGCTGCAGTTGTGTTTGGTGAACCCCGGGCTTTAAGATTAAGCGCGAGGTGTACGAGAACCGTGCGTGTGATGTGTGTGTGGGGGGGGGGTGTTGCGTGTGCGCGCTCGCGCTTGTAGTCACTCAAATAGGTTGCTCTAGAAAGACTTCGGGGGTGTATATGGCTGATAATACAGAGCCAAAGATTTGCTGGCGCGGCCCTTTCCTACAGCAGCTTCGCCCGCCAAGTAAGCAGCGGATCTCGGCTGAAGCGGCTACTTTTTAAACTTATTTCATGCGCAGCTGGGTTAGCGTTTGTTTTCCGTAGGGTGAGCTCGGGTGAATCCTTAGCACCTCTTTAGACACCGCCTTCGCAACGGGGGAATCGGAGCGCCCTGCACGTACAACCGATTCCCACAGCCCGGTTATTTGTGAAAAGCAAAGGAAAGAAAGGCCAGAGTTAATTTCTAGCCATTTAAAAAAAAAATGTCTTTGGTGAAAGAGAAGATGGGCACCCCTTCATTTATAGTAAGAATTTTTTGGGGGGGGGGGTGATGCTTTGGTTATTAGTGTTATTAGTGTTATTATTCAGGTATTATTAGGAAATACCTGAAAGGGGAGGGGGTGTCCTTGGTGCTCTCTGAGCTTGATTGTTTTCTTGCAAACTAGGTAACACCATCATGCACTAGCACTGATGATGTTACCTAGTTTGGGTAATGAAACGTCTGCAAGAAAACAACGAAGCTCAGAGAAGACCAAGGACCCCTCGTGTCCTTCCTGAGCTACAAAGATGCTCAGCCTTAGCAACCTCTGCTCTCTCTAACAGGCATCTCCTTCGAGAAATGTTCACGCTCAGGGTCTGAAATCTCTCGCCTTTCTCTGCCTTGCCCAAACTCCAATCTCGCCTTCGGCCAGTTGGGCTGTTCGTCCATGGTTGCTTCCTCTACGTTAGGCAGGAACTGAGAAAGAAGAGATAATAATAATAATAATAATAATAATAATAATAATAATAATAATAATAATAACAACAACAACAACAACAACAACAACAACAACAACAACAACTCGATAGGTAGACAAAATGCCAAATCCAGTCTGAACATCTGGCTGACTGTGCGATGATCCATAATAATAATAATAATAATAATAATAAATAGTAATAGTAATAGAATTAGAGTTATCCTGGCTCGCAAACCCAATTTACTTTGGCTCCCTCTGGCTAACAATGATCAGATGGTTTCTAGAAGGGCAGGAAGGTGGTTGGATCGGCCTATTGTTCGTTCACACCTAAGGTATACTCCCTCTGAAGATGGGGGCTCCACTGCTTTATTACACCTAATCTGCTCTCCCTCAGCTTTCTAAAGCTGCGGGGCCACTTTGGCTTCCGATAGAGGGGGAGGGGCTCAGTGGATCGCCTGGATTTCTGTCTCTTCCGGAGAGTGGATAGTTCCTCTCCTTTTGTCCCTCTTGAATCTGTTGCCAAATCGATTCCGAAGATGAGTTGGAATTCTTGTGGAAGGGGAGCGGGAAATCCCCCCCCAACCCCAATTTGTCATTTGGAAGCCTAAAGTTCAAAGGTGGGGGCTCTGGGGAATCCAGCCCCTTCCTCTTCCTGGACAGAACCTCCCCTCTCTCCTCCAATGGAGGGGTCCCCCCCCTTGCTTTCGTAGCTGCTTTGGGGGAAGGGTGGGGTTTTTGGCAGGGGGATGGGTGGCTTTCCTCTTTCTTTCCTACAATCCTTCCTTCCTTCCTTCATCTCTCCCTCTCTTGTCTTCCTTCCCCCCTTCCTTTGTTGCCCACCTGTAAAAAAGGCACAAACCTGAGCAATTTTGCTACACACACACACATACACACACACACACACATACACACAGCCCTGCAAAGGCCCAAGGGCCTCTAACCTCTTCTTCTCTCTGCCTTCTCCCCAAACCCCACCTTCCCCACCACTCTCCCTTTCCTCTCCCTCCAGGTGGGTAAGCTTCATCCTTCACGCTCCTTCATGCTGGTCCCTGCAAGTTGCGACTAATCAGCCACGTTGTGGTCACCATCTTGATTTGTTTGACCACAACATGCAGACACTCCAGCCCTTCACTTCACCAATGGCAGCGCGGATCAATTCTCTCTTTGTATATGTGTGTGTGGAAGAAAAGGCGAACTTGGCTAAAAGGAAACAATGGCAACATTTTGGCCACTTCTGTTGAGGAGGAAACCAGTTCCATCCAGGAGGTGATAGAAGAGGGAAATTGAGGGAAATCTCACCGGGGCTTATTTTGGGGAATTAGGGAGCGCTTCTCCTTGACTCTCAGTCTTTCATATCCATAAAATCCAGGGTTGGCTCTATAATTTAATTACCAGCTTACCTATCAACGGGAGAAAAACAGTATTTTAATACCATTATTAGGAACTTTTTATCTCTTCCTAGCTGGTGATAGGTCTCTCTCTCCTTGCCCCCGTTTCTCCTGCCCTGGCCTTCAACATTCCTAGCTATCACTGTCACGTTTTCTTGTGGCAGTGAGTTCTGTAGTTTATTCTTTACTTTTGTCCTTCTCCTCTCCCTCCCCCTCCTCCTCTTCCTCTTCCTGCTCCTCCTCCTTTCATCACTCCCTCCCTTCCTTCCTTCCTCCCTCCCTCCCTTCCTCTTTTGTACAACTCAAGTTAGCACATATAATCATTATCTTGGGTTGATCCTAAGTTCTTCTACTACATTTTCTCCCCATTGTTCATAAATGCCCTGTTTTAAACACAAACACTCCAAAATATACATTTGAGAGTCCTGTAACCATGACACAACACCATCGCACTATTATTATTACACACTCAACACACTATAAGAAAGGCGTTCTTCGCACAGTAGTTCACCCGGATCAGGCACCAACCTAGTGTCTGCATTCTTGTAACTTCTTAACCTTTGCTGGATTTGGGGGCAGGTGAAAGCAGCTTTTACACATTTTGAGCAAACCTAGTCTCTTTCATTTGGTTAGATGTAATGTGTGAATCTCGAAAATGAGTAAATCCTGGGTTAAGCTGTTGTCGGAAGGCAGACTAATGGGTCATTTATGGTGCTAACAAAGAATGAACAATTGTCAAGAATTTCTGCAAGAAAACTATTAGCCTTACACCGACAGAGGCTTGATCCAAAATGCCAGCCAGGAATTCTTTCTCTTTCTCCAGAAAAGAAATCTCCTCTAGGATAAATGAAGACGTTGGGGGTCTTAAGTGTGGCCCATTTCTCAGGCAACTTTCCCCATCTTTGTGTCCAAGAGGGTTGGACTACAACTACCATTTTCCCCAGCCTGCAACAATAGAATAGAATAGAATAGAATAGAATAGAATAGAATAGAATAGAATAGAATAGAATAGAATAGAATAGAATAGAATAGAATAGAATAGAACTGGAAGGGACCTTGGAGGTCTTCTAGTCCAACCACCTGCTCAGGCAGGAAACCCTGTACCATTTCAGACAAATGGTTGTCTAGTCTCTTCTTAAAAACTTCCAGTGTTAGAGCATTCACATTCATTTTCTGGAGGCAGGTTGTTCCACTGGTTAATTGCTCTCACTGTCAGGAAGTTTCTCCTTAGTTCTAGGTTGCTTCTCTCCTTGATTAGTTTCCACCCGTTGCTTCTTGTCCTGCCTTCAGGTGCTTTGGAGAATAGACTCCCTCTTCTTTGTGGCAACCCCTGAGAGATTGGAAGACTGCTGTCGTGTCCCCCCTCCTCCTTCTCTTCGTTAAATTAGACATACCCAATTCCAGCAACTGTTCCTTATATGTTTTAGCTTCCAGTCCCTTGATGATCTTTGTTGCTCTTCTCTGCACTCTTGCTAGAGTCTCAACATCTTTTTTACATTGTGATGACCAAAACTGCTCTGACTTGACACCTTCTCATCTGGTTTGTGAGCAGA